GAACACAAGGAGCTGAGAATCGGGCTGGTTACTTACATTAAGAACCTGTAAAATGTCTATGTCAGGCCCCTCTCTCCATCTCCCCAAGACAGATAATGAGGAGAAGGTTTTGTTCTTTCCCCGAGTTCTTCCATGGCTGAAACACGGCATAAAAAAAGAGACATAAGAACAAAAGCATGCTGGGGGTAAAACAGTTTTAAGGAAACAGTGTCCGCCTTCTCCTCTCCACCTGTGGCTGCACCCCCTCCCCCAGCGGGGAGTTCGTATTGTATCTACTCAGACACATATTGTTCATATTGCATCAATTTAGTAAGTTTAGAGTTCATATTGTATCAACCCAGTTCACAGCATGAGCACACCTGCAGAGGCTGGCATTGCAGGTAGTAAAGGAGAGTTGGCTTCGCTCTACAGGTGTTTCATTTCTTGCGAGGTTCTTGTCTTGAGTTAGAATTTGAATAGAGTTACAGTATGTGGGTTGGATGAACCGGACCTCAAGTACAGAGCTAGAGAAAGGCACCTTTTCTTCATGAATGTTCTTTTCATTAAAACAAATCTGGGGGCGCCTGGGTGGCTCAGTCGGTTAAGCGCCCGATTCCTGATCTCAGCTCAGGTCTTGATCTCAGGATCCTAAGTTCAAGCCCCACGTTGCGCTCCGGGCTGGGCGTGAAGCCTGCTTAAAACAAAACAAATCCATGTTATACGAGCTAGATTTTAGTATTATTGAACCCTGCTCTGAAAAATCTTCACTGTTGCAGAGGGAAGTTTAAAGAAATAACACGCTAGGTGTGGACATGCTGGAAATATCTCACTCTTGTTCAGCGGAGATGCTCAGACCTTTCTTTTCTCCTGTGTTTTGGTCTCGCTTGGCTCTTGGTCGAGCCTCACCTGGGCGCTTCATCCCGGCCTTGTGTCCCCAGTTGCCTTGCCCGGTGCAGGAGTGCGGGCCTGGTCTGGCCGTGCAGGGGAGGAGGGCAGGGGGTTCGGAGGCAGAGGGGGGCCTCCTGGCACCTTGCAGGGCTTCTCTGCTCTTCCTCTCCCAGGAACCCAACAGTGTGCTCCTCGCAGTGTTGTTCCATAAAGGAAACTTACTAAATTGTCTTCATTTTTCCTTATTTTGTCAGCAGACACTTAGAAGCCAGGGACTCAAACCACCAACGCTGCTCTATTCCAGCTCCCTGTCTGGGGCCTCAAGGCCCTTTGCAGTTTATAGTGTGTAGTCTCTTTAATAGAAAAGCATGTAAGCAAAGCAGTATTTTCTGAATTCGCTTTTCCTGTGGTTATCTGTTAACCTCTTGTCAGGTATGTTTTCATATTTCTCTCTGACTTTATGTAACTGCATAAAAGTCCTCTTGTAGGTCAACTTTCCCTGAGGGTTTTGACTTCCTGTCTCATCTCTGGTCACACCAGGCATGTGCATTGGGCTCCAGGTCTCTGAAAGGCCCTGAGCTCATTTGGATACTGTCTTAGTCCCCCTGATCCTGTTTCCTGGGATGAGTAGCTCCTTTTTTTGTTGTTTAATTTTTTTTTTTTAATGTTTGTTTATTTTCGAGAGAGAGAGACAGAGTATGAGCAGGGAGGGGGCAGAGAGAGAGGGAGACACAGAGTCTGAAGCAGGCTCCAGGCTCCGAGCTGTCAGCACAGAGCCCGACACAGGCCTCGAATCCACGAACTGTGAGATCACAGGCGCCCCTGGGATGGGTAGCTTCTGAGACAGGTGCTTGGGTCTTAGAATGTTATTTTTATAAAACCTGAAACTTAAAAATCGGAGACATATAAACCATAACATTCCCCTTTGGGTGAGAGTGGATTCCCTATCCTCATGATGAGCAAACAAATGCAACCGCGCCCCATTCTCGTTCTTGGTTTAAAGGGAGAGTATGTGTAGCGGAGGGGGCGTGAGCTGTGCGGGAGGGGCTCGGCTTCCCTTGTTCACAGGATGCATTTTCTCCTCCTGTTAGCTCTGGAGGCCTGTCTTGGGCAAAGGCAGAGTCATTTCCTTTTGATGTAGAAAAGTTAAGAATAATAAAGAGCTTAGACAGGGCTGCGAGGTCTTGGGAGAACCATACAGTGAATATAGGGAATATAGAGAATGACTTATTCCTTTATGTAGCAATTGAAATGAATTGTCTAAGAACAGGATAGATCATTTTGTAACCTTTTGTAACCTTTGAAGGAATCTGAGTGGTTGGTTTTGGCAGACGTGCCTTACGTGTAAATGGGGCACAGTGACTTGCCAAAGTGCTCGGAGTTCCCGGCGGGGAGGCCAGTCTGTGGCAGTCACGCTCCCGATGTCTGCCTTCTCGAAATAACTAAATAAATAGGCAGCCCCAGGAGCCACTGCCAGAGCCGTGACACCCTTGGCTATGTGTTAAATGCTGAAACTGGTTTTTGATACCACAAGTTGTTTTCCAATTGATTGGGGGCTTGGAGGAGTGCGGGGTCTCCAGGGAGACAGGCCTCATGTCCCCATCCCCACTGACCCCAACCTGGAGTAAACTTTTGGCTTGAGATGCAGCTGTGGTAAAACCAGTTAAAAGTTCTACAGAAACATTTCCTGGCAGTTAAATTTGTTGTCGCCTGTGTCTGTGCAGAACCACGAAAGGGATTGTGAATGAGTTATAAATGCCTCCTATGTTCACTCTACTACTTCGAAAATTGTCTTGTTAGAATAATTTCCTACTCGTAGCACTTGTGAAGTCAGCAGAGTAGCCAGCCTGAGCTCTATTGCCCATTCCCAGAAGTCTGGGGGTGAAGCTGAACGCGCGGTCCGCCAATGGCACCACTCGTAAAAGCAGGCACTTGTTAAATCTATTTGTTTTTATTATAGACATCGATCTGCCAGTCGCAATAATGCATTTATGGACATTTTTCTGCAAGCACAGCGCTGGTGGCAGTTTTTACTGACAAATTGAGTCATATGGATAGTAGTTTAGAAAACTCTCACCTTATTGACAGATCGGGCACTTCCAGCACCGGGTGTTGAGAGGCATCTAGATGGGCAAAGAGAGGGAATTGAATCTTGGGGCAAGATATGGGATGGGACATTTCAGTGTTAAAATTTAATAAGTAACTAGTTATTTCTTATTTGTTTTTAAATTTGTTAGCTAGCCCCCCCCTCCCCCCCCCGTCAAAAGGAGTAAAAGTTGGGACCCAAGGTGCCACCTTCAGATTTTGACCAGCTTGTTTGGGGTCGTTGGCAAGAGCCACCAGTGGAATGTACTGCTGACCTTGTAGCGGGATATCCATGCGTAGGAGGAACGGTGTTCTCAAATGGGGCTCTGAGCCCTGCTGGGGTCAGGATTACCGAGGGTGCTGGTCACAAAAGGCAGATTACAGGCTCCCCTGTCAGACCTATGGGATTAGCACCTGGGGACCTGTGTCTTTGCAAGCTTCCCAGGGGATTCTAGGGACCCCGATGTTCCAAGCATCTCTTGGGAAATCTTTAGGATGGCTGAGAAGTGTGCTCACCAGCCCAGACGAGCTCCGGAGTTCCCCTTCCAGATGGATCCATTCGCAGCCAGCATTGTCGTCAGTTGCCTGTGCTTATGGATCTGTGTATGGTTTTGTAACCCCTCAGAGACCTGTGAATCTCTTTGAATTGCAAACCCAACATGTTATCATAGTGTTATAGTTTTCGGTCTTGTGGTTATGACAGAAGATGCAGATGTTACCAAAACTTTGGCATTAGTTTTACAGACAAATGTTAAGCATGGACAGCCATATTATATTTCACTCCTAGTTTTCCTTTTGAATGGCTGGTATTGCTTTTCTCCTCTCCAAGTAGAAGCGTTTTCATTGTCTCAAGTGAGGGCTGACTTTCAAACACACAACTGAATGTATTTTTGTGGAACAGAGTTGAGTTTTTATTCACAAAGTGGCAGAGTTGTGTTGGGGAGAATAATGGGAAGGTGACTTGAAGCAACTGTGAGAACCCAAGCTGCCTCCTCATGTGTCTGATGGCAATGATCATGCTTATTCTGTCTACCTGGGTACCTATAAGCATATGAAATAATAATAAAGTATGAAGGACTGCCTGGGTAGAAATCTTAATTTGGAACAGTCTCATAGAATGATGAAATTCTACCTGGAAAAGTGGAAAGGAACACACCAGAAATCCGAGTTTCCCTCCAGCCTGATAATCAACATCCTTGTCTCTAGATTTACACATAACCCAAGCCCCCATTTGGGGCAGCAAGCACAGTTAAGCGTGCAGCCTCTGGTAACAAGCCTGCTTGTCCGGATCTGGATCTACTGGTTATATGACCTTGAGTAGAGTTACTTAACCTTTCTGAGCCTTAGTCTCCCCCAAAATAGGCAAGATGACACTACCATTCATAGGGCTGTTGTTGGCTCTTGGGAGGGAATTGTGTTTGCAGTTCACACCAGGCCCTGGTGAGCCCGGGAATAGTTGACCATTGTTAGCTCAGAGCCACCAACCTGTTTTCGGGATGGAGTCTTGGCCACTGGGCTCCCCCTCCTGTGTGTCTGTGATTCCAGGTGGTCACGGACTTGTGTTTGGTCAGGAGCGTGATGTAGCTCAGTGCTACTTTGCTCGATTTCTAAATTTCTTTCTGTCTCTAAGGAGCTAGTTTCTTCTGCTGCCAGTTTGTTTTTTCATAGCGGACATTATCAACAGCTGCTGAGGTGCTTCCTGTCAGGTGCGCCCCACTCGGGGGGGGGGGGGGGATGCTCTGAGAGCGCAGGTGTGCCGGCTCCTGCGTGCGGGCCGAGAGCAGGCCAGGGGGCCCTGCCAGTCCCCGGCAGCCCTGGGAGGCTTGACAGTAAGCATCAGTTAAATGGAAAGAACTCCCCGAAGGACTACACACAGAGTCTGCCACTGGCAGTGGTCAGGGGCTAGCGGGGCCTGGCACCCGAGTCCGCTCACATTGTGGTAGTGACGGCTAAGGGGATGGGTTAGGTCAGTGTTGTCAAAAATAGAAAACCCACGTTAATTTCTGTGGGTGGAAATGGGCTATATTTTGGGGTATCTATTTACCGTCCTACCTCAGTTCAGCCTGGTAGTCAGTCAAGTTCCAGAAGGATCTGGCCAGTGCAAGAATGATGGTGTTGCTGATAACTGCATTTATTGAAGGCTTACCGTGCAGGTTGCTGTTACAGACGGGCAGCTTCTCATCCTCAGCACCACGGGGTGACGCGGCCGCCGTGTTTCTTCTGTGCGTGAGGAGACCGGCTCCGGGAGAGGGCAGGGGCCCGCAGCAGGCACACGGGCATAGCAGTCGGGTTCTGTGTTCGCCCGCTGGCTGTGCCGCGCTGCCTCTGCAGGGCTGAGGCAGAGAAACGGGTGCAAGCCCTTTTGGGGGCACGATGTGGCATACAGAAATCCACACCTGTGTGTTCCCGAGCACATTTTCTGAAGACCTGCGTGCCCAGGCATTACCCTTCGCACCGTGGGAAAACCTGCACGCGGGTCTGTGCCTGCTTACGTGCTCGTGACGCCTCCCCGCACCGAAGCCCCTGGTACTGAAGGCGGTGGGGACACCCGTCCTTGTTGGAGCACAGGACCAGTGTGCGGTGCCCGAGGAGGGAGCGGAGCGCCCCGGGTGCCAGGCCGTGTTCGACGACTTCAGCCTCGCTCGCTGCCAAGGCCCGAGGGGCCGCGGATGGAACCCCTGTGCGTGGACCTTGTATGCGGGCCGGCGTAGGGGTGGGGTCGGGCTGGGGAGGGGCCTGTGCTCTCTGAGCCTTGGCCTTGGGAGCTTTGTGAGTGGGGGACGCCGGGTCACCAGCAGCGGCGACAGGGGCAGCGGCGAGGAGGAGGAAGAGGTCACGGCGGCGGGTGGCCTCTGGGGCGGGCAGCGCGCAGGGACTCGCCAGGGTCGTGTGCCGCACGCCGGGTGGTCGTACTGTCACGCACGTCACGTGCCGAAGTGGTACGGCCACGTGGGGGGCGGTACGGCCATACACGTCACGTGTGGAAGTGGTTTGGCCACCTGGGGAGCCGGCACGGTCCCGCGCGGCACGCCGGGAGGCGGTACGGTCACTGACGCGCGGCACGCCGGGAGGCGGCATGGTCACGTGGGGAGGCGGTACGGTCACG